GAGGAACTGTATTTAAAGGGCCATAAGGTTGAGAACCACTGCATTAAGGGGTCCAGGTCTAGCTCTTCAGCTTCTTGCCTTTTGTTCCACGAGAAGTCGGCTCTCTGTGTCCCCCCTCACTTTTTGCCTCCTTTGCTGTATAGCTCTCAAACCTCCTTTTGTGACCATTATGCCTTCTGCTGCCCTCTAGTGGACTGTGGTCTTCTCTAACCACCTTGGAGAAGCGATTTTACTCTTCTAGCTAAGTACTTCCATCTTTTCAGCTCCCTCAAAATCCCTAGCTACCATTCTAGTGATTCCTGTCTCACTCAGATTTTCTCAAAATAATAATAAAAGAAAAGAATAGTAAGCATATTATTGGTGAAAATATATTCTTTTTAACAAATACAGAGAAATAATAAAGAAATAATCTTTATATCCATGATTATCTGCAATTTGCTTATGAATGTGAAAGAATGACTACGGGGTTTTTACCCCCCAACTTTATTTAAAGTCAAAATTATATATTGTTTGAGATAACCCTGTATTACCTTATTATTGAGGAACAGATTGGAACTATAGGAATGTATTAGTTGCAAACTATTAGGAAGTAAGCAGTTATTTCAAGGAGATAAAGGGACTAAGAGCACCTATCTACACTATCTGGAGATACCAGTAATCATCCACAACCTTCAATTTTTGTTTAGTGTACTTTGATTATTCCTAATTTTCATGTTTGAGCTTAGAAAAGATATGATAGTCAATTACTTTGAGAGTGTTTTCTTTATTTCTTCAAATATATTTTGAAAAACCATCTACCAGTTTCTTAACAACTTGGATCCTTGGCAAGGTTATAGGTATATATCCTTTTCAATCTAACTGAACTTTCTCATATCTTCAGACTGAAAGGCAAGAGGTGGTGTTTTAGCAGCTCAGCTATGAGCATTAACTGGAGACAATATACTTGAGGTCTAAGGATGGTGTACCTGTCTTTAATATCACCCAGGTTCAGAGATCTCTGGCCAAGAATGCTAGATAAAGGAACAATATAAGTCTTGCTCAAAGAAGGTGCTACCATGTGAAGTAGGATGGGGGGAAAAATAAAGTAAAATGTATCTAAAAGAAGCAGGCTTAAGGAAAGAAGTCATGAAAAGTATACTGGTATTACACAAGCCTTCAGTAATCAAGAAAATGACAAGCCTTTGTGTGTGAAGTAGATGAAGGGAGTAAGTGACTAGATAGTACTAAAACAAAACAAAACAGAAAAACCCATCATAAAACAGCTTTATTGTTAGTTCTTATTAAAAGAAACAAAATCTGAATGAAACGAGAAGTCATTCATACTTCATGTGATATTTGGATTATGTAAAGAAAATAATTGACCTGGCATATCTATTGCTCTCTGGCTTGAATTCAGAATGGGTCTAAGACTTTTGGCTGATACTATATATTATGTCAACATATATGTATTAAATAGGTTTTAATCATAGCACTATAGTGAAAATTGAGTGTGTCATAGTATACTTTCGTATAAATTTAAAAAGTGTACAATAAATATTAAGTACTTTATTTACTTTGGATATTAAAATATTATCAACCTATTGAATTGCAAAAGCAAATATGTATATTCATTTGTTCATGTAGCCAACCCTTTAATTTAGTAATCAAAAATCTATCATGTGATATCATCTGAGTCATATTTCAATAGTTAAGAAACCCACAAAATGTTTCTCAAATACAGCCAGTTTCAATGTAGGAAAGTAGCTAACACTTTAGTCATCAATAACAATTTCATACGATTTCTCAATCTGTCAAAGTGTTTAAGGTTCAGATTAGGAAAATTAGCATTAAGAAGTTCTATGGAGAGAGAGAAATAATGCTGAATGTTGACTGGGGATGATAAAGTATTGTCAAACACTTTTTAGCCTGAGAGAAACTGAATAATTCTAAGTGAAAGTTAAGAGAACCTATGATCTTTTTATTCTTAAATCTCTGAAGAATCATGGAAGCAGTCAAGGTATCAATTAGCATATACCAATCTTTTCTATTCCCTCCAGTACATGCTGGAATCATTTAAATGCTAAAATATTGGTATGATTCTTCTGATACATAATCTCTATCAATCCCTCAACTTGTGTCTGACCATCATTGTTTAGTGAAATTAATTCAGTGTTCTGACCACTCAATTCTTGATAGAAAACTGTACTCATAAAATGATAATTTCATGTATATATTAATGAAACAATTTCACTAAAAAAAACCCAGAGTATGTGTAGCTCATTGTTTAATAGGGATTTCTATGGTTTAGTTCACTTTAAAACTGTGGCGATGACTTGCAACATTAAATTATAATTTTAATTACAGGTAAAATAAACTAAGGATTTAAATCCAAATTGATACATTTTCAATAAGATGGTGGTTCTAACTCGTATCAAAATTATTTACCCATATTTAAGTAGAATTTAACTTAAGCAAAATGTTTTCCATTATAAATGTCTTTATGTAACTTCCTTCTTTACTATTAGGTCCTCACTGGGGCTCATTATCATAAATGGCAGGAAGCTATCAAAGACCCACTCTCCATAATCATCACATGAGATAAAGGAATTAGAATGCAAGTCCTTATCACAATCTACATTTTGTGTAGTAGGATATATTCAATTTCTAGGATCAAACTTATCAAGGATATATATTTTATGCATTGATTTTTGCACAATTTACTTTCAGTTACAAACATTTTTTCTGAAATATAAACTAAAATAAAAAGGGGGAATAAAAAGTCCAAGAGAACAATTTTTGGAAGAATAAATAATTATTAATATGGTACTATTATCTTTTGCCTGCTTGTTTTCTGAAGGGATTGAAAATGGTTTTTGTTTTTTTTCCTTCTCATTTTATTGACATTAAAACTGTTAAAATAAGTAAAAAGCAACTCTGATAAAAGTCTGAAGAGCTGTTTCCAAATCTTAACTATGGTAAGCCAGTCAGAGAAAGATAAATATCACATGATCTCACTCATTTGTGGAATATAATGAACAACATAAACTGATGAACAAAAACAGATCCAGAGACAGAGAAGCATCCATCAGACCATCAAACCTCAGAGAGAACGTAGGGGAGGGTGGGGGTAAGGAGGAGAGATCAACCAAAGGACTTGTATGCAAGCATATAGGCCTAACCAATGGACACAGACACCAGGGGGGTGAGGGCATGTGTGTGTGTGTGGGGGGGGGGGGGGATGAATGGGGAGATAAGGACGCATAGGTAATACCTTAATCAATAAAGAAAAAGAAAGTCTGAAGAACTAAATCAGAACTTAGAGAACCATGCTAATAAAAAATCAAAGAAGCTGTAACAATGCCATATGGAAATGAGGCTTTTTGTATTTCATTAACAATGCTTTACAGAAATAGATGTCTTTAAGTACTGATTGAGAAATTTTCTTTTTTTTAATTTGAAATGTGTTATACCCTAAAGGCAAAAGCACAAAGGAAAAAAAAATTCTACTTTTGTATGAAATCAGTACATTTAAATATAAATATGAATTTTAATATTATTCAAATCAACTGCATTGAATAAAAATTGATCCTCAAATGTAAATAATTAATATAAAGTAAAATGAAATGGCATTTCAATACATAATCAACATAAAAATAATTAATGAGATATTTACATGCTTCCTTTTTATATCTTCAAACCCTAGTATACATTTTGCATCTATAACACATCTCAATTCAGACTAGCTGTAATTTCCAGTGCTGAATACCCACCTGTTGCTAGTGGCTACCTATTGGACAGTATAGTTCTAGAAGATGTCATTACTGGTACTCTTATATTATTACTGGAATTTAGAGAATATCTCATTAATATCCAGCAGAAAAAATAAATGTCCACATAAATATATGCTCAATATGGTATTAATTTATTATTGAGTCCAATTTTCTTTTATTATAGGCCTTTTCTTCTTTTATTTCTACTAAATATCAATCATAATCTTTCTTACATAAAAGAGTTCCTTAATAGAGCCTTCTTATTAGTCAAATATAAGATTTAATAGTGTTATGGGCCACATACTTATTGGTAATTTCCAAAAAAAATGTCATGTAGCAAATATATTGAACTCAATCTTGCATTATCTGTTGCTGCACTTATATTTCACTACTGTGTATTAGCAGAGTATTTCTATATTTTAAAAAGTATATTCTCTATTAATATGTTAACTTTATTATCTATATATTACAATCACAAATATGTGCCTTGTTAGAGAGTAAGCTTTTGTTCATTTCAGAAATATACCAGCTCATTTAATAATTCCAGATCATAAATATCACTCCAAGGAATTTCTGATGGAATCTAGTATAGGACTCAGTGGTAGAACTCAAATCTACACTGCTTTTAAAAATTTTACATTTCATTGGAAAAGTAATTATCTATGTCTAAGTCACATATCCAAGTCAAGTGAGAGAGGCCTATTTTAAACCCACCAGACACCCAGCAATTTGAATAATAATTATGATTTTTAAATGTGGAAACTCATGTTTTAAGAAGAAAATGCTATAATGACCTATTTAAGACTGGATATAGTGTCAAGAGCAATTCAAATGAATGAAGCTATAGACAAAAGCTTGCCTAAGTGTTATAGAAGCATAAATTCATTTTAGAAAGCAGATGGAAAATACTTGCAAACAGTGGCTTATTTTTCTAATTATAAAGATAAATATATTTTAACAATTTGGGATTTGGTTGCTTCTCTTATTTATGGAAAAAAAATAGTACTGCTACTTTGATTTGTAGACAAAATAATTTAAAAAGAAAAAAGCCCACTGAAATTTAATTAAATCATTGTGGTAGGTAGTCTTCAGTACTGGTCAGATTATAGAAATCATCACTTTAAAAAAAATCACAATTACACCACTTACCCAACTTTTTGCTTCTATCTTTCCTCTCCTGGTAAAACTGTTAGGTGTTTAAAGGGAGAGAGAACAAGACATGTAAAGCTGCAGCAAAAGGTACAAGGATACAGTCCCTTCCTGGAAAGAGGATTTTGTGGCGAACCATTTCTCCCATAATGCATCCCACAGACCATATATCCACTAGAACAGGAGAGAGGGAAGTGAAGAAAAGGGAGGAAAGTAAAGTTAACTAAGATAACTGATCTCTGAAGGAGGAGGAAAAAGAACAGTTGATTAGAAGGTACAATTTTTGTTTCCCACCAAACGTTGACCAAAAAGATGAATTTAAACCAGCACTATAATATTACATAATCAATGTCTAGTATGAGGGCTCAATTTAATTTTTGAAAATTACTTTATGGGTGCCTCTTTAGTGCCAGGAAATGGTGACATGGAAAAGTAGCAACTAACCAAAAGTATCTTCTTCAACCTGGACAGAGGCTGTTTCCATTTTCTATCCTGTTCAGCTACATGGAATACTTTTTTTTTTTGGTATGTACAACCCAATCCAAGAAACTAGGAAGTGGCCAGAACCATAGTTTTAAGGCAGAAGAATTTGAATCCCTGGTTTTAGGACTTAGTCTTCTTCTTCATAAGTAATTCTTATAAATAAATATCAGTTTTAGTTTCCACTTGAAATTCTTTTAAAAAAACATAGCATTAATTAGCACGTTTAATAGAATCATTTGAAAGTAAAGTGAAAAGAGATATTAAAGGTATTTTAAAAATTGTTATATTCATATATTTATCATACTTGTTAACCAAACATGCTTCACCTTCTCTTTCCAGTCTTTCTCCTCTTCCAACTAGCTTTTTAGTAAGGACAAAGGGAACTTGGAGGCAAAAACATTAGGCTGAAACACCCGTTGGGGAAGGAAGGCAGGGTTAGGTGCACGGGTTAGCTGGGCATGCCTGATGTCGCAAGCAGGTTTTTCTGCATGATAACATTCCTCCCATACGTAAGTGGCAGAACAGCACAGGTGCTAGGTATGGTTTCTGCACGGATCTAGAGATGCCAAAAAAAAAAAACAACTAAGGCAATAACTTGCAACCCTTTCTAGTGAGGAAAGGAGAAGGGATGAGATTATGCACCATTTGTGCAGCAAAGCTCTGAAAAGCCGTAACAGGCAAATTCAGACCTCCCCCAGCCTCTGTAGATCCTTGATTTCTTGGCTTTATAAATTGATTTACCTTTGATTTTTAAAAAAATAACTTGGGAAGAATGTATACAAATATCTGCTTTTCCAAATAATTTAGACTAGATTTGCCTGTTCCAAGTCAAAAGATAACAGACTTTTTCCATTGTCCACCAAAGTGAACCTGACCTTCCTGGGGGCTGACTTTTTCTCTTCTTCTATACAAATGCACAAAAGTATTGGCTTTCTTCTAATCTGGAAGTACACAAAATTTTTTTTAAACTTTGATAACCCCAAAATTTTCATAAAAGTACCTAACCTATAGCACCTGCACATAAAAATACAATGGTAATTATTTTTATAGAACTTATTAAAATGGATGGCTAGGACTAAATAGAGTATAACATAAATATGAAAGGTACTGAGTACATATAAAGTTATAATTTAAAACTATTTTAATTCCTAAATATATTAGATATGTTATTTTTAATATGCTATATTATTTGTTAAAAATTCTTTTCGAAATAATATATTGCGATACTTTCTGATAGGTACTTATAAATCCTTCATTTTAATCAATAAAAACATATTGGAATACATTTTGAAGATTCTACTTTTTCTTTTAAAGTGTTCATGACTACAAGGTTTCTTTTATGAAAGCAGTAGTATAAAATAATTTTCTCTATGGTTTTTGGAATTTATAAAAAATTTACTAGGCAACTGCTACCCTAAATATTAGATACAGATCAGTTTAAAGCAATAAAGAAACTCTCATCCAACTTGAACAATCTGGATTATTTTAAATCAAGTATTCATTGTGCATTTGTAAAGATTCCCACTCCGAACATGTGTGGTGTATTTTCGTTTGCCTTTCCCTAGGACTAGGGCCATCTCTCTAACATATGACATAAAGCCAAATGGTTAACTATAATAGATTTATTCCTGTTTCCTCACTCACTTTGAGCTGATCTGCAACTCAAATAGCATTTTTTCCTCAGTACCTACAGCATGTGTGCTCAGTAGTATCCATTTCACTGTTTAGTGGGACAAAGAAGAAAACGCATGTAAGAAAAGGGAGCAGCTAGAACATTTTAGTGCTCTTCTAGCAAAGCTTACTTCTTGGAGGCATCCTACACATTTTTAATGAGTGAGTTTTCTTAGTAGTATGGTTTTTAAAAAACAAACAAAAAAACCCCTCTGAATACAAAAGCTGGCAGCCCTGTTAAAAATAACATTTATATACAAGAAAGAGAGTATGATTCTTGGCTATCTGAAACATGTACTCAGTTCCTTCACAGTCTCCGTGGCTGTGAGTCAGAAGCATCCCTACCGTTCTCCTTGTAGCCCATTCCCAGGATGACCTCAGGGGCTCTGTAATAACGCGTCACCACGTAAGGAGTCATCATGAAGCTCGTGCCTGCGGTCCTGGCCAGTCCAAAGTCGAGGATTTTCAATGTACAATCAGACTTGACTACAATGTTACTTGGTTTTAAATCCTGACAATAGGAACAAGAGAGGGAATGAAAAGCCAGCATCACGTGGAACCTGTGATTTTCATTTACTTACTTAATCAACATGGTAGTCCTGCAGTAGCACTGGTGGCCCCCTCCCCTTACTGCAGAGCCCCACATAATGCAAATGATTGTTGCCCCAAAAGAGTTTACAATGAGTTTTCGGATTTTTTGTAATAACCTCAGGAACTTTGTTAAACCCAGACCCAGAAGAGAACTGTCTTTACAGTTTAGGCTCATATTGAAAAACGTTTTTAGAGGGCGGGGGGTTTATTGTCATCTGTTAGCTCTCTCCTTGTGACAACATAAACCTTTCAGCTTATATTTCATGTCTAGGTCTGACAGGAGAGCAGATCGGGGCAGCTGTCTATTCTGTCAGAAACAAACTGAGTAAATGAACTGTCTTATTTCAACTTCACATGCGACCTCTGCCAATCACGGGCTAGAAGACATGAGGCTTCTCAGAAGCTGACTCTCAATGAGCTGGAACACAACGTTAAACAACATCAACTACAGTACAGCTTACGTTTCCTTCTGCACACTAGTGAATTATGTGCTAATTCTAACATTAAAGAAATGAGGAAGGACAGTCTACTTAACCTAGCCCCCGACATAAAGAAAATCATCTTCAGTTAGTTTCTCTTCCCTAAAACATCTTCATTATATTTCTGTAGTAGGCGCTCTTACCCTGTGAATAATTCCAGCAGAGTGAAGGTGCTTGATGCCACACAACATTTGGTATAGAAGGTAAGACATTCGTTCATGGTCTAATTCCATCTGAATCACCTGACACAAGTTGGCATCCATCAGTTCCATTACTAAGTAACTGGAAGGGTAAATCCACAGTTTAGTTCCAGATCATCTGTTTAGTCCTTCAAATACATCAGAATCCTCTCCTAAATCTGTATGTCTTTCTAACTCCCCAGCTCCACATTTGACTGAATCGAGAATATGAAATATTTCTAAGTCTTGCACGCATGCAACTCATGGTAACTCTACCACATGTTGCTAATAGAAGAAGCATTTATTAGTGTGTGGTTCCTGCCCATATATTTCCTGCTTTTGTCTTGTTCTCCTTTTCCCTGAATTTCCTAAAACTCTTTCCCAAGTATTACGATTATAAATAAGAAAAAATTTCAAAATAGCATCTTCCACTAAATGCAATGCATCTGTATTACACAAGATAAGGTGTGTGATTTACTTTCTCTCCTCTGCTTGTCATCACTGTACTTCTAGGTAGATTCTTTTTACACAAAATCAAAGGCACCATAAAAATAAATATTACAGATAATTATTATCGGATCTCTCTTTAGTAGTATTTTTCAAAGGGAGTTAACTCATTCTAAATAACTCACAGAATCAGCAATAACAAAAAACACATAATAAATAACATATTTTCTCCAACTGAAACAAGAACACGGAACAAAGCACAGAGAACCAGAAGTAACACCAGAAACAGAACCTCTGTCCTGTCCCTAGATCCCTTTCATTTGCTGCCAACTTTCATGTCCCTTTGATCTCTACAAGGGAGTTCATCTATTTTATTGTTGTCAATTTCCCTTGAATTACTAGAGTGCTATGCTCTCCCTTCCTTCATGAGTTATTACTTACACATCTTGGAACTCCTCCAGCGTTTTCTGGGGTGTGAAGACATTTAGTAAACTAATAATCTGGAAAAGAGTGGAAAGGACAGAAGAAAGAGTGAAAGAGAAAAGGGAGAGAATGAGTTATTTTAAAAGCATATTTAGACTAGCATTTTTTCCAACTCAAAGTCACACTCTAGCGCTATGATGGAAACAGAAAAGTTGGAAAAAATTCTAGAACTGTCTCACAGAACATGGAAAAATATACTCAGAAAGGACATATGGTTTGTCTTCAGGTTCAAATACAATTAAAAAGCTGAAATTCTTAAGCAAAAGAAAGAGTCAGAGAAGATATGTAATTGTGATACTGCATTAGAATATGGTTCTACTTGGTAGAATACAAGGTCATTAAACAAAGAAGGAAAAGAATGTAAGAAAAGGGAGCAGCAGTGAAACACCCAACAAGACTTAGGAAGGCCATGTTTTTCCTCTAAGTGAGCTGGGTGGTGTTCCAGTTCAAGGTGGTGCTCTATTTCAAGATGACGCTCTAATTCAAGGTGAACCTCTAATTCAAGATGATGCTCTAATTCAAGGTGAACCTCTAATTCAAGATTTTTTATTGTTAATTTAGTTTATGTTCCAATAGTAGGTGTGGGGAAAAATGAATTTAGTAGAAAATGAGAAAAAGTTATCAAAAGTTTATTTACTAGTATTAAACTTATTGTCTCCTGCTTTGTGCTATATATTTGATAGTAAAGAATTTTACCTTCTAGTATAAGTAAATTAAAAAAATCTCCTTTGCCATATTCCAAATAGATTGCATACACAAATAGCTGAAATGTTCTTTCTGCTAAAAATTCTGTACTAATGTGCCAACAGGAAATAAAAATTAAAAATATAGATACCTATCTTCTACTCACAGTATAGATGCAACCATTTCACAAAAATTTGATGAGTAAAGTTTAAGATTTATACAACTTTAAAACATGAATTAATAAAATTAATAACTGGTACAGAAACATGAAGTAATAAAAATAAAACAATCATTTTAAACATCTAAGAAAAGCAATCAATTCTAAAGAATGCTTTTAGGCATTAAGTAGTTTTCATTTGTTGAGGAATTTTTAAGAAAAAAATTATAACATCATCCATTATTCTCATATATATGTCAATGGTTATAATATAAAAAACCCAAGATCATCTCTACTAAAACAACCTTACAGTATGGAATATTCATAAAGAATAAAATCATTTCAACTATCATTAAAGCTTGTTAGTAAAGTACCTTGTCATTCTATATACTTAGTTATAGTCTGTGTTGAAAAATGTCAATGTAGTACATCTCTCATTGGAACATATTTATAGTGGGTCTGGTTTTCTAGTATTTTATCAGTATTGGAATGTAATTCATTTTGACATTTTCAAACAAAAACCAGAAACTAGGTGTAAGACACATATAAATACAACATAATACATACAAATAACCCATATCAAGATTTATTATTTTGAAAGGTAAATTTCACACCATTATCTATTCTTATTTTTCCTTTCCCTATGCCCTTTAAAAAAAATAAAATAAAAAATCACTTTCAACTTCTTTGATTTCCTTTTGAGAATTTCTCCTCTTTCTTTTTTGCTCCTTTATGAATTCTAATCCTACTAATAAGCACTTAACGTTTTGTCTTTAGAAGCAGATCATCACAGGTCTTTCCATTTTAGTTGAACAATGTCCAGGCAGGAGTCTGATTCAGCTCCTCTATTCCAGTATCTTAAAGTGCACAGCGATGAATCAGTGTTTGTCCTGCCCTCACAGTCACACTGGCTACCAATTCCTAGAATTAAGTATTTGTTTTCTAAATGGATGCTCGTTGCTGTTATTAAATTTTTATTTGGAATTACTTCACTGTTTCACTTTACTTTCCACAGCATTAACAGAGTTCTGCATTCTGACTGCTTTTACTTAATATTACAAGTACTGAAGTGAAATTTACACTTGGTTGTAAGTGAATTTTCTCTCTGTTAACAAGTTCCAGAATTTATTTCCATAAACTTTTATACATGTAGGCATGCATACATACATACATACACACACAAAAGGTGGTAGCAGGTAGGATGCCATTTAAGAATTATCATTTCAATTTGGAACTTCTTTTTAGGTATCATAAATGTGAACCTCCCCATCAAGAATGGGGAGTATGATTCCCAAGTAAGTGGAAATTCCTTTGCAATGCATTTATTGTATATAAGGGCAGGAAGGAAGACTAGGAAAATATAAACATATGAAAACACAAACTGTCAAACTTTTCCACACAGTTGCTTCATTACTAGTATCCATCCTACTTCCATTGCCTATGGTATTTCTCATGCTCTTTGCTATCATAAAAATAGATTGCATAGGTCATGTGGTTTTCTTGCTCTTGTCTTTATTTAACATACTGAAAGAACAAATTGCTTTAGTAGAATTACTTTTCTTAGGAATTATCTTTTCCATCATTTCTATGTTCCTTTCTAGAAGCACCATATTCCTTGCATAGCCAAATTAAAGATGGGTACATACTTCATAATATTTCCTTTTCTCAGAGAGGTGTTTCTTGCTCAGCCTATTTTAAAAAGTAACTCTACACCACTCCACATTCACCAGAATTTTTATCTTCCTTCTTTGCTTTGTTTTACTTAATAGTACTTATCACCATTTGCCATTCCATACTTTTACCCATCAGTTTGGTAGATGGCCATTAGGACATGAGCTTTTCTGCCATTAGAACATGAGCTCCACGTGGGCAGGACTCCGTCTCTGCTATCTTCACTGCTCTATTCTTAGTACTCAGAATATCTAGATCTATATCTGGCACATTTCATTCATTCAACAAATATTTGTCAAATGACTAAACTAAAAAATCATTGACACAGTGTAATAGAGGAAAAGAGAAACAATGCCATTGAGCCTGAATCCACATATTTGTATTTCAAATATCATTTGACTAAACACTCATATATTTGCTTCTTCTTAGTGCCATTGATAGATGTGCCTTATGACAAATTCATTTATTTATAAGCTTACATTGATAATCCTATATAATAAAAGCCTAATATGCAAATTGACCAAAAGGTGGAACAACCGATTGCTATGATGCACACTAACCACCAGGGGGCAGACACTCAACACAGGAGCTGCCTCCAGCCTGCAGACCCCAGGCCAGCCAAGTCGGGTCCTAGTGGGGGGCCCCTGATCACCCTGCTGGTCGCCCCACAGAGGGAGGTGACTGGCAGCTGTGGCAGGGCGATTGGGGGGGGTGGGGTCGGTGAGTGGGCGGCGCCAGGCTGGCCATGGTGGGTGCCAGCGGGGGGGCCCCCTGATCGCCCTGCCAGTTGTCCCACAGATCGGCTCTGATCGCCAGCCGGGCCTAGGTATCCTACCCATGCACAAATTTCATGCATTGGGCCTCTAGTTTCATATATTCTGTGTGATTTTCTTACTTAAGAAAAACTTTGTAGGGAGTTATAATAGTTACTGTTTATACAGTAGTATTATAATAATTTATAATATAACTAGAGGCCCAGTGCACGAATTTGTGCACGGGTGGGGTCCCTCCAAGTGGCCAGTGATCGGGGCCAATCAGGGCTGTCTCTCCCAGTCCTGATTGGGGCTGATCGAGGCCGGTGGCTGGGGAGGAACTGCAGAAGGGACCATGGGAGGGCTCCAGGGCATGTCCATCCCTGTATTGCCCAGTCCCAATGGGCCAGACCCCAGCAGCAAGCTAACCTACCAGTCGGACTATCTGCTTCCTGGTGGTCAGTGCACATAATAGCGATTGGTCGACCAGTTGGCTGTCTGCCCCTGATGGTTAGTGCACATCATAGCAACTGGTCAACTGGTCAACTGTCTATCCCCTGGTGGTCAGTGTATGTCATAGCGAGCGGTTGAGCGGCCTTAGCATATCACTAGCATATCACGCTTTGATTGGTTGAACAGACAACTGGATGGCCGGACACTTAGCATATTAGGCTTTTATTATATAGGATAATTTCTATATATATAAAAGGCTAATATGCAAAGTGCTCCCTCAGGAGTTCAACCAGGAGACTGGGAGTTCGATTGCACTGACCACCAGGGAGCAGCGCGGGATGAAGGAAGGCCCCAGCCAACAGCCGGAAGGCCCCCATCAGCCCTGATCACTGGCCCCAAGCCTACGGACCCTACCCATGCACGAATTTCATGCACTGGGCCTCTAGTTATTATATACTAGTGGCCTGTTGCACGAAAAGATTCGTGCAATAGGCCTTCCCTTCCCCTGGCTACCAGCACCGGTTTTCCTCCAGCATCCGACACCCAGGCCTTCGCTCCTCCAGCCAGAGCTGCCTTCAGCGCCTTCGCTGCTCTGCTTCACGCCTATGTGTGCAAATTAACCACCATCTTTGTTGGCGGTTAACTTGCATATCTCACTGATTAGCCAATGGAAGGATTAGCGAAGGTACAGTCAATTACCCTGTTTGTCTATTATTAGATTAGATTTATATGTACTATATTTATTATATATTTTATTTCTTAATAATAGTCATTACTACAACAATGAATTATCTCCCATTTATCCTTACTAAGAAGAATGAAAACATAGAAAGAATTCTAGTGGCCTTTGCCTGTGGTTAAAGAAGCCTATACTTGGAAGTGAAGAAAGTCCCATTATGGTTGAACCCTACTGAGTTCCAAGGAGAAATGTTCTTGATGATCCTGTTCTGAAGTGCTTTGCAAATATCCCCCTGCACGGCTGTGCAGCCCTACAAAAACAATTTGCCAAAGCACAGCATGTGCACTGAACAAGTGGAGGCCACTACCAGACTCTAGGTAAAAGAAAAGGGAGATACAAATCTTCATCTGCTAATAATTAAATTGAAATTATAAAGAAACATAACATATTGTTCTATAGGATATTTTTGTTTTTGTTTGTTTTTATTTTGGAGAAGAATGGAGCTCTCCACTTAATTTGGAGCACAATAACCAAATACGGTTAATTTCATAACAGGGAAATATCCACCAAATTTATCCCCTCCATGCCATATGGTTTTTAGATGATTTTTTAAGCAGAAAGCTACCATGAGGACAATGAAATTAAATGTAGCATATGGACAGGATAAACAACCTTAAAGACAAATTGCAAAGTAAAGAAAGCTTTTCCTACTCAAGTTGGCATACTAATTTTCTTTCCCCGATCTCACAACCTCCCACTATCAGAGCTTTAAAAATAACAACTCACGTTTTTATGGTTCACACACTTCATGAGGACCAGTTCCCGGTAAGCTCTCTTGGCATGTGTTTGGTTCTGAAAGGGTCTGCTGAGCTTCTTAATGGCCACATTTCTGTCAAGGACAGCATCATATGCAGCACTGCAGAGATCCAAGAACAATTCAGGATTAAAAACAAAAGAGTCCTTAGAATTCCTGCCTACAGAACTAAGGATATTGGAGATATATATATATATTAGAATACTACTCAGATACTCTCTCCTCACATCACAGATCAACAAGGCTGTGAATAAAGATATAGAAGCATGGAACAGACTGCTGAATCTCGGAGGGAAGATGAGGGTGGGTGGGAAGAGACCAACCAAAGAATATATATATATATATATATATATATCCATATATCCATATATCCCATGGACATAAACAATAGGTTGATGTAGGCCTTGGGTGGGCGGGCAGGGGTTGGGGGGAGAGGGCTAGAAGGAATCAATGGAGTAAAAAGGGAGACACATGTAATACTTTCAACAATAAAGATTTTTTTTAAAAAATGAGAAGATATGAGTGACCAATATAAAAAAATTCTACTTGCAAGAATATAAATATAAAAGAAAGAAAGAAAAGGAATCATGGCAAGAATACAACATATAATTGCATCAGTGAGTGAGGGGACAAGAGAAGAAAGGTATGTGCTCAGCTTCCCCCCTAGCCATGTAATTGTGTGTGAGTCATTTCATCTCTCTAGGCTTGCAATTCTCCTCTAGTTTGATGTGACAGTTAGGCTTTCTCTAGGTTCATCATTCTTTGGTTATTTTATGTGGACATTCATGTTTTCCCCATTCAAAGGTACCAGTTGTTAAGGTGTGATGTTGATTGCCATGAAAGCACAAGTTGGTTGAAACTCAAAGTTCCCTCATTAACTCTAACAAAGCTCAAAACAGAGAATGCAATCAGAGGGGATTTCAGACGCATCAATAATATTTATTATTTAAATACAAACATGGAAATAAATGCCACTTACATTTGAAGCTTTCAAACTATTTGAGAATGATCATTTACCATGCTTTGAAAAAGCAATCAATATATGGTCCTGTTTCTCCCATTCTCAGAATACATGGGTCTGGGACAAATGAGGAAGTTGGTCTCTTCTTGCTATCATACTTAATGACCTACTCAGAAATGTTTTTCCCATCCTTGCCACTCTAAGTTGTGCTGAATTGTCTGAGTTTCCAGGAAGGGTTGTCTTAGTTTCCAGGAATGACATAGCAACTAGTGTCCCCACAATTAATCTACTGAAATGGAAGTGACATTTACAATTTAAGGTTGATGCCACTAAACTGAAAGACAAACAAAAAGGATAACTGTGTTGTAAGATAACGATACACTCACAGGATAAGGCAGGACAAAGTCTCAGAGTTCCTCTGATCCATGCCTCCATTTAGCACTTATTCCTCTCCAAAATATCTCCATCAAAAGTCTGACCAGTCTCTGCTTGAGCATCTCCAAAAACTTGAGCCCCTTTAACATTAAGGCAGCTCCTTCTGCTGTTGAACAGCTTTGAGAGTTATAAATGCCATTATTCTGCTAAGCAGAGTTGTCTTTCCATGGGATGTATTGATCACTGTCTGCCCTGCCTTCCAGGGGAACTCAAAGTGAAGTATTTCCTTTTCCTTATGATAGACCCACAATGCTTGAAGCCTTTAAAAGACTGAGCACAATGCCTGGCTGGCCTATAAGCACTCAATAACACTAAGCTTTTCTTGCTTTTCTCCTAAATTTTTTCTTCCTTAAGCTAAATATCACCAGTGTCCCTACCACCATTTGTCAGAATGTGATTTCAAAGCCCATCTCCATCTGGTCAGTTCCTCAGAATATATTCCAGGCTGTGAATATCATCTAAAAATGTGAGCCCTGCACTAAATCAACATTGCTACTCTAGGCATGGAGTGTCAGTGAAGGGTAAGGCTATCAACTCTCTCAGAAACTCAGTCGCTCATTCATTATGTTGACACAGTTAATACAGGGAAGTCTATCCTGGCTTCTTTGATAACCACACATTGCACATCATTGACTCACAGTGAGCGTATGTGAAATGAAAATGCTGTCTTTAAAAAAACAAAACAAAACAAAAAACTGTGCTGCTATTTAACTCTGTATGTCAGCACTGGTACTTTTGTTCTTATTTGTTCTTGTTAATTTACCAATGGCAGCACCGGTAAAGGAATCAGATGGACCTGCAGCCTATAAGTAGTGCACAAGGACAACAGTGGATTTGGAAATACAGAAATTATAATTTCTAAGGTTAAGTAATTTTACCAGCAGTAAACTGATCAAAATAGTCACCTTAAAGAGAAGAAAAAAACCCCACTAACTTTTAATCCAAAACAACTTAGTTAAAATCATTAAAATATCTAAAGAAAGAATAGCAATCAATCATAAAAGTGTATAAAAAGGAGTTAGAAAGGCAAATTCTGACACTGCCTGGCCAAATAAGAGATTGCCTCCCAGGTAGATCAGAGGTCCTGCCAGCCAGCAGATGTTTGCATTCCTGTTGTGACTGTCAGAGACTGCAGCGTGTTAGCATTCTGATCAGCGTCTCCTCGGTCTGATTCCATCCTCTGCAATCAACGTTCTGCTTATCAGGCTCTCTTTCAGATGTTGCAGGCAAGAATAATGTCCATATTTGGTCAGTTTGACTGTCACATTTCTCATAGTTTAATAAATTGGCATCTGGTTTTATATGTGAATTTTTAATGACGTTTGTCAATATGAGTTTCAGTCTGTGAGATACTGACCAGATCCCGCAAGATAATGGGCCGGGCCTGGACTTCTGGTGGGATAACCGAGAATGGCAATTCCTGGCTTTCTGAGCAGTTATGACACTGGCCAGTTTCTCCTAGAAATGTTGTAGCATGCTCCCTCCCTCTGTGACCTCTTCCTTAAAGCAATTTTGGGTATGAATCTCAGTACTGCTGCTTACCTGACACAAAGCTATTGGCAACCCACTTGCACTTTATGGCATCAGTTTCCCCATATTTATAATAGAGATAATAACAATTTCATGTATCTATAGTGCCTCACCTGGAGTGAGCACTCAAGAGATAATGACTATTGCTAGTTTTAAAAGTCAATGTCCTTGCTGGAGTCATTGTGTAATGCAGGGCAAGATCAACATAAATTTCTATAGTGTGTGTTATAACTGGATATTTATCTACTAACTAGAGGCCCGGTGCATGAAAATTCATGCACTGGTGATGGGGGCGTCCCTCAGCCTGGCCTGCCCCCTCTCACAGTCCAGGAGCCCTCCAGGGGATGTCCTACTGATGGCTTAGCCTCTGTGGGAGACCACCGGCTGATCAGGGGAAGGCACTGTCCCCAGCACCCTCTCGCTGCTGCTGCCTCTGGCGTCCCTCTGCAGGAGGTGACCCAGCGATCAGGGGAAGGCTACACTCCCATCACGCCTCTGCTGCAACCACTGCCAGCTGCGAGGCTGCTTATGCCTTGGCCCTCGCAGCCACTGCAGCTTGCCTGAGCCTCGGCGCAGCCTTCATTGCCTGAGCTCAGGCCCTCATACTGGCAGCCGCCATCGGCGGCTTGCCTGAGCCTCAGGCCAGTCCTGGGCAGAGGCCTTCCTGAGCCTCGGGCCGGCCCGCCATTGGTGGCTTGCCTGAGCCTCGGGCCGGCCTTGGGCAGTGGCAGCCGCCATCTGCTCCCCGGATGCACCTCCTGGTCAAGTCCCCGCCCATTCACGCACCTCACCACTCATGCAGTCCCGCCCACCCCCGCACACCTGTTGTGCACGCAGCCTCCTGGTGATGGGTTGTGATGGCATGAGGGTGTCACAGCATGAGGGCGTGATGACCACATAGGCTTTTATTAGTATAGATCAGCATTTCTTAATCTGTCTATTAATTACAAATCCATTTAACTATACCACTATCTTGACATTTCACAAGTTTGCCCCATGATATAAAAGTTTGAGGCAAAAGCCTTGTTAAAATCTAGATACATTATAGCCATACGGTTCTATTACTTATCACTTTAATAAGCTATCCAGTATGATTTGTTTTTAAGGCACTCCCTACTCCTAGTGATTAATGGCTCACAGGGTATCTTTTTTAACCAATACGAGAACCAATGTCAACAGATATTTCTTATCAGATATTTCTTTCCTCCCTCTGAAAGAATAAGAATGTTGCCAGTATACAGTTGTGTGGTAGGCTGTGGTTTGGCTCATTGAAATTCCATTTGACCACCTTGTATCATGTCTTCCTTCATCAAGGAGACTTAAGAGTTAAATATGTAACTCCCAGATGCTTTTACAGCTAGAGCTCTGGATTCCAATAAGGTCCTTTCACACTGATGCAACTATGAAAGATTTGTAGGCAGAAGTGAGGGTGGTCATCTCCTAACACTGCTTGGTTGGCAAGCAAGGTCTCATGGAGAAGTGAGATCTTCTTCTGAAGCAAAGATTGACATCACTCTCCAGAGTGCTGGCAGGAGGAGTTGAAGCACAGGCTGCGGTGGACTCCAGGTTCCAGGGCGCCGTCACTAGCACGATGGAGTAGCGACAGCGGAGGTGTTGAGTGCACAGTTTCAGCTCTGTGATTCCCGAACCGCTGTTACAATAAGATGTTCTGGAAACTCCATGGGTCTCAGAGGTAGAAGCTTTCCTGATGATTTTGCTCTGGCATGTCTGGGGAATCATTTGGGAAACCCAGACTAGAGCTCACCTCTCTAGGCCTTCCAATGATTTTGCAAGCACCCCAATTTACCGTATTAAATCCCCTGCCTACTTTAAATGTTCCTGTCTCCTGCCCATGAACCCAGGCTGACACTACAGTCTTTCCCGTTTTCTGTAATTCCGAAGTGATTACTGGCAGCAGTTTAGCAAATACATCTTCACATTGGCATCGTGGGGCTGGACAGTAAGAAATTAT